CAGCAGGCTGATGAGTAAGATCTAAGGGTTTTCCAGCTATAGTAACAAGCTTGATGATTTTTTTCTTTCTTTCTTTTTTTTGGAAACGTTTTTGCTATAGGGCACATGTGCTTGCCAGAAAGACAGAGAGAGACAGAGAGACAGAAAGTGAGAAATAACCCCCCAGGGGGGATGGCCATGCTGCAATCCCTTCTCCTCCATTCTCCTCTCGGTATCTTGGGCACGCATACCCATGCTCCTGGCGTGAGTTTAAGCTACCGGGTCCAGGACTTAAACCACAGTCGCCTACATGGGAGTCCAGTGACATAGCCATTACACCAACTGCTGGTCCCAAAGCTCAGTGATTTCTAAGTCCATTTTATGATATATTAAAGATAATAAAATACAACAATTGATTTGGGGAACGAAAAAAGAAAACCTTGGAAACAAAAAGAAAAATTAGTGTTGCTCATAATTCCTTCCCCCTTATTAATATGAATTGATTGCTCTTGCTTTATGTTGGAAGCAGTGTGTGAGTTGTTGAGTGTTTTTAATATGAACATTATGTAGACATACCTGTTTGTTATGATGTGTGGAAACGTTTATTGGACATATATAACGTTTTTTTTGGAGAGGTTTTTGCCATAGGGCATGTGCGCTCGCCAGAAAAACGCAGACAGACAGAGAGATAGAAAGTGAGAAATCACCCTCCCCCCCACCCCAGGGGCGATGGCCATGCTGCAATTCCTTCTCCTCCATTCTCCTCTCAGGATCTTGGGCACACAGACACACGCGCACGTGGCGTGAGTTGAAGCCACCGGGTCAAGGACTCAAACCGCGTTTGACTACTTGGGAGTACAGTGACGTAGCCATTACGCCAACTGCTGGTCCCAGGACATATATAACTTTTGATTATGAAATAGTAACTAATCAGGCACAGTGGTCCCACTGCAGAGTTCCTTTTATACTTCCTGATTTTATGTGTCAATCCTTAAATTCATGAAGGTTCTAAAGAGGTGCTTAAGTAATTTTGGTCTCTCATTTCTTATAGAAAATGGAAAAGCTGCAATTCATTCATTTCTTTTTATGACATTCTGGAACCAGAGGTGTACTTTAGGATAGTGTAAATGATGCCAAAAGTAGCTGATTTTTACTATAAAATATATATAATATAAAATTGTCCATTTTAACCACTTTTAGGTATGCAAACAGTTCTGTGGTGTTAGGTACATTCACATTAGTGTGCTGCGGTCATCACCATTCATCTCCAGAGTGTTTTTATCTTCTCTAATCTGAACTTTGTACCTATTAAGCACAACTCCCCATGTGCCACTTCTCCTAGCCCTTGGTCACCACCATACATTTTCTCTTTCTATGAATGGTCTAGTCTAGGTGCCTCTTACAGTAGAATCATATATTTGTCAATTTTTAAAAAATTTATTTTAATTTGACCAGAGACACAGAGAGAGAGCGAGAGAGAGAGTGAGAAAGCAAGCCACCAGGTCTGGTACTTGAACCATGGTTGGCCATGTGAGAGTGTCCAGTGCCTTAACCACCACACCACCTACTGGTCTCTAATTTTTCTTTTTTTTTAATACAGGGTCTCATTATGTTAAGATCTTTCTGTTTTAGCTTCCTGCGTACCTAGGACTACAGGTGTGCACCACCATGCACAGCTTTGTAGGGTGGGCCAGGAATTGAACCCAGGCCCTCCATGTGGCCTCAAGTAGCATTATCAGCCAATATGCAGCACCATAACTATGCCACAGTATTTGTCTTCTTATTTCACTTACCATGATGTCTTCTAGGTTCATCCACTATTTAGCAACTTAATGATAGAAAAGGCAGGAAAAATGCTTGATTCTTTCATTTTATAGTCCCAGTTTCTAAGATAATTAGTTCCTGTCATTTGAGGTGACTAGTTATTTTCTTTTATATATTCAATATATAGAAAATACTATATATAAAGGTAGTTTTTGTTATGTCAGATCCTCATGCCTCAGCCTCCTATTTTGCTGGGATTATAGGCTGATCTCATTATGTCCAGTCTTTAGGTTGGACCAGGACTTGAACCTAGGCCTGATATGTATCTTTTTGAACTTTTAAGTTTAAGCATATTTGTTAGGATTAATTCATTACAATTTTTTTTTTTTGAGAGGTTTTTGCTGTAGGGTGCATGCACTTGCCAGTAAAACAGAGACAGAGACACAGAAAGCAAGAAATCACCCCCCGGGGGATGACCACGCTGCAATCCTTCTCCTCCATTCTCCTCCCGGGATCTTGGGCACACACACACACATGCCTGGTGTAAGTTTAAGCCACTGGATCCAGGACTTGAACCATGGTCGACTACATGGGAGTCCAGTGACATAGCCATTACACCAACTGCTGGTCCCTCATTCATTACTATTTATGTCTTTGTTGCAGCTTTATTTGTCCCATATCTGGCCAGAGACAGCTTACTCAGTGCTGCTTTATAGTCCTTTTGACATGAACCTAGTAGTCATTGATAATGTATTTTAATGTCTGGTGTAACAAAATGTTCTAGGTTTATCTTACATATTCATATCTTACACTTGGAGTCAATCTTTTTTTAAAAAAACAACCTTGGTTTCTTGGTGAAGGGTCTTTAAAAAATTTTTTAAAAATGTAAATTGACAAATTAAATATATTTATGGGGTACAAAGTGATGTTATGATTTATAATACAATGTAGCATAATTAAATTGAGCTAACATCCAGCACCTGAAATATTTATTTATTTTTTGCTTTGAAAATATCTGAAATTCTTTTTTTTGCTTATTCTAAGGTATTAAAATGTATACTACTTTACTCTTTACCATGTTCACCACTCTGTGCACTATATCTAAGGGGAAAAAATACTTTTCATCCTGTCTCATTGAATCTTTATACGCTTTGACTGTCATTTCCCTGTCTCCCAACCCCTGCAGTCTCTTGTAACCACCATTATGCCTTCTGCTTTGAGTCTAATTATTTTACATTTCACATGTAAAAGGTGATATTTGATTTTCTGTGTTTGACTTATTTCATTTAGTGTAATGTTCTCTCATTCCATCAATTTTATCTCAAATAACAAAATTTCTATTTTGGGCTCAGTATTCCATTGTGTATATATATCACATGTTCTTTATCCATTCGTCTTTTGATAGACACTTAAGATGATTCCCTATTTTAGCTGTTGTGAGTAGTGTGCTGATGAATATGAATGTACAGACATCTCTTTGACATACTGATTTTGAATCTTTTGGGTAAATAAATACCTAGAAGTAGGATTGCTGGACCATATGGTAATTCTGTTTTTCCTTTTGGTAAGTTTATTTATTTCCTTCATAAGTATGAGAGAGAGAGAGCACCTTGAACGAGCCCAGCGTCACCATCCTCCTCTAGCCTTCAGTCAACCCCAGATTATGGGCAGTTGTGCCTGTAGCATATTCAGGCTGGTTGTCAGACTTGCAGGGAACCCCTCCTGTGTGAGATTGCCTTATAGAATGTTGTATTTTACTGTGGCACCACCTCATAACTCTATCATTTTAGTTTTTTAAGGAATCACCATTGAGTTTTTCCATATTAGCTGTATTAATTTACATTCCCACCAATGGTGTACAGAGGTTCCTTTTTCTTCCATCCTGGCCAGTACTGCTGCTGCTATTTCTCTCTCTCTCTGTCTCTCTAAGAATAAATAATTCATTTAATTCCATTTGTTATTATTACTATCTTAATTTGACCAAAGAGAGACAGAGAGAGAGGAAGGGAAAGTGAGAAAGCAAGCTGCCTGGTCTGGGACTTGAATCATGGTCAGCAATGTAGGAGTCCAGCACCTTAACCACCATGGCACCTGACAGCCCCAAGAGAGATTTTTGCTATAGTGTGCATGTGCTCACCAGAGAGACAGAGAGAAAGAAAGCAAGAAATCACCCCCCAGGGAGGATGGCCACACTGCAATTCCTTCTCCATTGTCCGCTCAGAATTTTAAAAAATATATTTATTTATTTAATTTTATTTGATTATTATTATTTAA